AAAATATATCCAATCCAACTTCTGTGTTTGTGTTTGTTTGAAAGTGAGTGAGTGAGAGAGGGATCCAACTTCTCTGTGTGCATGTGTCTGTTTGAGAGAGGGAGGAGGGAGGGAGAGACGGAGGAAGGAGGGGGAGGGAGAAGAAAAAGAATGAAGGAAAATTTATTTTGCAAGGGGGAAAAATGCTGTTACTTTAAATTGGAACTGAGCATGCCTGGCTGTGGAATTCTGGGAGTTGAAGTCCACAAGTCTAAAAAAATTTGAAACACCTGTGTCTCACCAGCTATAAACCTCACTGCACGTTACTGTTACAAAGCTAATGTAAGTGTGTTGGTTGTGATGTATTTGAAATAACAAACTTTGTTAAAGACTTTCCTATGTAATATATATAATAGTTACCATACTTGCGTAGCAAACATCTGGGTGAGATAGAGACAGCTACTGTCTATGGGTTGTCTGGCTATTTACAGCTTGTACTGTATAGTGTATGCTATACAGTATATAGTAGGCCTGTAGTTACTACTTTACTAGAAGAAACAGTATCACACTTTAATATATACTTTGTAATTAAATTTACAGAGATTTCTACTCAACATTTCCAACACCGTAAGAAGAAAGATAAAGCTTGATAGTGTATTTACTTACGGTAAATTTCCAAAACAACAGTAGCTTCTTGACTAAATCCTGAAGAATCAGTTGCTTGACACCTGTATATTCCCGCATCTTCCACATTGGCATTGTAAATGGTTAATCGTGATCTTACACCTTCTTTCTGCACCATCACTCTCTGATTAGAAATGATCTTTTCTCCTTGTGGATTATACCAATCTATACTCTCAGGTTCACCTATTACTACAATGAAAAAATAAAGAATGAATATAACAAATGCTCAAAAGATACTTAAATGTAAACATAGTATTTTAATGAAATTAAACATTTTTTTTAAAATAAAGACTATACCAAACAGTATTTTTTTAAAAAATGAACGTAATAAAAACATAATATCATGTCTTATATAACACATCGAGAAATTGATTTATATGAGGAGATATGCAAATTCAAACCTTTCTTTTTCATGATTAATTTATTGACTTCAGAGAAAGCCATGTTCTGCCACATTTTGCTCACAGTTCTTTTTTCAGAAAAGACCTTGGGTGATCTCCAGGAAAAATTGGACTCTTGAGGACTGCAGAGCCTCTGCAGATTGACCTCATATTGAGTTTATGCTTCTTGAAACTGAAGGAACAGCTCTTTTGTGCTAGCTAGCCTGTCTTTCCAAGGATGAAGAGATTATTATTGTCAGTACTTTTCTTCCTTAATGATTGTGGAGAGATCCAGTCCAATGAAGGAAAGCTGTGCAAAGTCAGGGAAAGAGAACTGGACTGTTCAGCAAACAGATAATGCCTAGCAACCAACAAGATTAAGGACTGCATTTTTTTTTTAGTAAGGGCAACTATTCTACTTTCTCCTAACTGCTATGCATGGTGCCTTGACAAGAAGAAGACATGATTGTTAACATAGGCAGGAGGATGGAGATGCTGCTGTTTTTGATAAGATTCTAATCTATCCAAAGTCTAAATCCCTGATTTGGCTAAATATTTCTAAAGCTAGCATTCTTATATATCCTAGTAACTACTTGTCAGAAAAATCTAAATGGTTTGCAATTGGGGCCTACCACAGAAGAGAGGCCAGTACCCTCAGAGAACCGCTTCTGTGATCCCTGCTCCTAGGTGACTGATGTTAAATCTTTCCCAAAGATTTAACACCACAGTTAAAAATCTATAAAAATAGAGTGGATAAAATTCTTCTCTAGCCTCTTCCTTCTCTAGCCTCTTCCTGCACTGTTGACTCCTAGACACCACAAAGCGATTTGATAGACAAAGTTTCAAACTATCTTCCTTGACAATTCCTCTTATCAGTTAAACAACAGTGCTGATAAGGTGTTATGGCTATTAACCTTATTGACAATATTTTGTTCAGGCCAGCAGACCTTAATTACTAGACACCTGATAAACTTCTTCTCCTTCTCCCTCAGTCATGTTCTTTCATTAATCTCAATTTTAATCACTTTCCTCCCATTTGTATTTGGTGGAAACATCTGAACTAGTAATAGTGCCTCAGAACACTTTTAGACTGCTTCTCCTGAACTTTACTCTATGATCTTTGCAGTAATAAAAAGGTTCTACCTACAATTTTTTTGCTTTCTTTATCAAATACATAATCATGTTTATATTTAGATCTGTTATCTAATTCATGCTTGATGAAATAAATAAATAAATAAAATAAAATAAATGTGGGATTGCAACTTTAAAAAGACATTATCCTTAAGTTTCTCACTTTGTTCAGATGGACAAATCTCCTATTTCCATACTTATTCTAGCTCGCTCATCTCACTTTTGAGAGATAACTTTTGAGAGATACTTCAAAATGTAATAGCTTTAAAAATCCAATATACTTAATTGAGATTAATTGACTCTTAAATCCTTGTTTCTCTGCCTTTATTTGAGCTTGTCCTTCAAAGTGAATGTACTGAACTACTTGATTCCACCATAAATCCCTAATTTCTCAGATGCTATTCTCTTTTTAATTTTCCACTTTCCTTATGGTCTATCTGTATCATTGAATTGTGAGCCATCCAGAGTTGTTTGCTGAGATGAGCAGATATAGAAACCAATCAACCAACCAACCAAATAAATAGTAAAGAGGTATGTTTACTATTTTGTTTAAAATTAAACAAAATAGTAATTTAAATTTCCCAGGAAGTGTGTATTATGTTCTATATTGTGCTTTATTTTACAAGAAAATAGCCATTAAAGATACATAAAAAGTATTCAGAATGTAATGTGTGTATGTGTCTACGTAAGTATTTCTAATGCAACTCAGGAGCACAAGTTGCAAATCATAAATGCAAAAGTCTATGTTGGTTCATTAGAATTTCAGTACAGAGAGATTGAATTCATTTCATTGGTATGTTGAATATTACTGTATTTTGTGGTGCTCTCAATTCCAGCTGTTCTTCATGTTGAATTTTCAGCATGATTACTACAAATGGAAAAATGTCCTGCCGGTTCATTGATTTTTGCTATCTAGTTAGTGTTGTTCTAGGTCAGTGATGGCAAACCTTTTTTGGCTGCCGTGGCAAAAGCAGGGGAAGCACAGGGGAGTCGTGTACCGGCATGCCACACTCATAATGCTATGTGTGCCACCCAGCCTGCGTACATGCATGCAATTAGTGACCCTCCCTGCTTTTGCCATGTTTTTCTTTCGCCTTCCCCAGGCTCCAGAGGCTTTCTATGAGCCTGGGGAAGGTGAAAAGAGCCTCCCCCCATGGATGCCCTCCAGAGGCCTCAGAAGCTTCCCTGAAGCCTCCGGAGGGCAAAAAATGGCCCTATGAGCAAATCAGAAGTGACTTCCAGTTTGTCCATAGGGCTGTTTTTCTCCCTCCTGAAGCCTCCGGAGAGCAAAAAATGTTTCTACAAGCAAACCGGAAGTTTGTCCCCGACTTTCCAGTTTGCCCACAGGACTGGTTTTTCATGCTTTGGAGAATCCAGGAAAACCTCCAGAGGGCGAAAAACGGCCTCAAAAGAAAGCCGAATTCTAGCTGGCCAGCGCATGCATGCACGCTGGCCAGATGATAGGGCAATGCCTCGTGTGTCCTGACAAATGGTTCCATGTGCCACCTGTGGCACACTTGCCATAGGTTCACTATCACGGGGCTAGGTTAATATACACTGGCAAAGATGTACAGTATAGTACAAATAATTTGCTTCAAAAAAGTTCCTTCATAAATATAAAAAAAACCTCACAATAAACTATCCAAATAGTACTATTTCAAAATGCTAAAACAGAACTTCATTTTATTTTGATTTTTGAAGGATAATTTCTGGGTCAATTATTATACTCTTGATTTAAAAGTTTTAATTCATTTTATTATTTTTTTTACTTCTACAGTGACACAATCTCTAATATGTTTAATAAAGTATTCAAAGAAGCCACTAGAATGCACCATAACTTCTAGTTAATATTAATAATTACATTGATCATGAAGCTGATCAAAAAAATAAAATGTATTATACCTGTACAAGTGAAGAATTTTGACACACCCACACTGACTTCTACCTTGCTGAGGGAAATTGACACTTGAAGTGCTGTAAGACATAAAGTAATAAATTTAAGGTAGCCCACTTTAATAAGAAAATTAGAAATTAAGAAAAAAATAGAAAAATGCACACAATTAATATTAATTTTAACTTATAATAAACATTATAAAATCAATTTTGAGTAACTTTTATTAATATTAAGTTTAGTAGAATGTGATCATTTAAGAATTATTAATACAGATGCACAAAATGTTGAAGCTACTAACGAAGTCCATTACATTGCCAGAAAGGAATATATTACCAATAAACTATTGGTATATTTTCACTAAATATGTGCCTGTATAAATGGTTTATATTCTTTTTTTCCATAATTATTACAAGTTCTTGAATTCCAACAATTGGGAGACATTTGGTGCACTGGTTAAGGTACTAAATTAAAAATTCAGAGACCAAAATTTCTCAGCTTCTCTCAAGCAAAAAGGCCTACTTGGAGGCTTTGGGTCTTTCATTCTGTCAGCCAAATTGGTTAAGTAAAGAGGAGGTAAAAACATCATGCATGTCACAGTCACATGGAATTGGAAAAATAAAGGAAGGGTATACATCAAATAAAAAATAAAAGACAACAAATTAATTCAGCTATTTCAACCACTCTGTTCTTTTAGGCTTAATAAACAAAGGTGACAACAGCAAGACTGCTCTATGCACAAAAATGGAAATATACTTTAATTCCCACAATGGATGACTGGAAAAACTGACAGTGTTACCAGGGATGACTAAAGTGACTGCTCTAATCAAAGAAAAGAATATAGGCAACATTGTTTCTACCAGGAAACCATTTTTTGATTTTGTGCTTGAGGTGGGAAAATAAATGAAACTTTGATTTTGAGTTTTGCTATTAATAGGTTTACTTTTATAAAAATATATTATTATATATTATATTTTTACTGAGGTAAGAAGAGTCAGAAAACAATGTTTTTCTTTTCTTTTCCCCTTTTCCCTACACTTTTTTTGTTTTCCTTTTCTTTCCCTACTTTCCCATTATTTTCATTTTTCTTTGTATTTTATATTTTGATAAACTAATAAAAATTGATATTTTTTATTGATAAAATTTGATAAACTAAAAAAACCTCCTATTCTGACCCACTTTGCTGTGAGAAGTATCAGTGACTTCAAAGACTCCATCACCACAATTGATCAACTATAAATCATACACACACATGCAATGGCATGTGTGAATGACCTTGGATGACTGGATCCAGAGAGGTTCCCAAGAAATGGTCAGATAAGAGACAGCATTGTCCAAGGAGAGTAGGGGAGACAAGGGACCATGGTGTCTTACGTGGTAAGATGCTGAGCCTGCATTCCACTGAGGCTGGCAGCTTGGCAGCTCAATTCCTGTGAACGAATAAACCGCATAGGGACAGGAAAGAGCCTCCCCTGATTGCCTACTGGCAATCAGGCATCCCGTGGATAAGATAACACTGTCTGAAAAAATTCCTTTCACAGAGGCAGCCAGCCACTTCAGTGATCCCTGGCTAACATGTGCCATGTGCTTTAAGAAAAAATGGTGAGACAAGAGGCTCAGAAGAGATCTTCCATAATTTCTCAGGCTGTAAAGGAAACAGGGGGATAATTGTACTGTAAGACTTGCATGATTCTATAATATAGCCTAAAATAAAATAAAATTAACTAACTGGATTGTGTTTCCTATCTGGTGCACTTGATAAGGCTATCACACACTAATTTATTTATGTAATTTCTTTATATATAGCTATCCATATCATGCAAGTGACTATGGGCAGTTTCCAGGATTAAAAAACACCTTTCCACCACCAAATAATAATTACCTGGGTGTATAATAATCAATTAACCATTAAACAGTAGTTATCCTGCAACTAATTACTGCAATTAGAGATGGACTCACCCAACACAGTGGCCAATCCCTGCAAGGCAGCCAAAAGCCACCTGGAGTCACTTGGTTGAGTTGGCAGCTATAGAAATTGAATAAATAAATGAAAATATCTATAAAGTCTTAACAGGATGAAGGTTACCTGAATGTTAAGGGGTCAGATGTTCTATAGAGCAGAGGTTATAACAGGAAGGAGACTTCCTGGGTTCTATCAGATAGCCCTGCTTGGTAATAGGGACCTCTAGCATGCCAGCTCTATTTAATCTAAAGGGACAAGCAGAGACAGGGAGCCTATAAATAATCTGTTCTGGCAGTATCTAGTACCTTGAATTTTACCCAGATGCCTCTTGGAAGCTAATGCAGTGATATAACTATATATGTGGAACCAAGGGTGGGTTCTGGCTGTCTTTCTTGCCAGTTTGCTCATGCATGTCCTTTGCGCGTGCAGACTGAATTTGTGCTGCTCATGAATGCACAGTTCAATTAAAATTATTCTGTCCGTGCGCAGAATTCCAAAACAAGATGGTGATGGTGACCAGGGAACCAGTTAGGGGATGTGACAGGCATGGGTTGCTGCCATTTCCAGTGACCCAGGCTGCCAGACCACTACCGGTTCAGCCGAACCGGTAGGATCCCCCTGTGTGGAACATTGAGATATGATCATAATTATCCATATTGCTGCATTTGGAACCAGTTTATCCAAAGGCAGCCCCATAAAGATCTCATTGTACAATTTTAAATGACAGATGACTAAATATGAGTGACTATGAACAATGTCTATAAATCCAGGTGCAGGTACACTTGGTGCACAATTCTAAAAAAGACTTTCTGGCTATAGCTATTACCTGCTCTTTTAGAAGTAGCTTAGAATCTGGAAAAAAACCTCCCAATCTGTGTATAAGTTCTGCCTGGAGGAGTATTACCCTATCCAGAAAAATATGTGGAAGGTCCCCAGTATTGGGGGAGAAGGGAACCTAAAACTCATAGCCAATGGATCTCATTAGGTTTCAGCTGAAGCTTATTTATGAATGAAGATGAAGCTTATTCATTCCATCCAGGACCCTTCTATCCACTTATAAATATTGAGAAGGAACTTAAACAGCAATAAATCAGGTGACATATATTCATTAGCATACACATGATATTTCACCTGATGCTATTTCCTAGGGTTCAGAAAAGAACAAAGATAAGATTGATTCCTAGCAACCCTATAAAGCAGTAGCCTGGAACTTGACCTCACCAACACACCCAATCAAATTAATAATTGTCCTTTACATTTGCCAGGTCAAGACTTAACTCTCTGTGGAGGCTGTTTAATTTTTCTGCTTATATTTAGGAAACATCATTCTCCAGAGTCCCAAGCTAATAAGGCTTGTTTGTTACATTTTAATGATTTGGCATTAGGTTCAATAAATAATTAAGAAAAGGACAAGTTTGAACTATTTTATCATGAATAGCTTGTGTTTATTAGTCTTTCTATTACATATGTGTGTTGAAATATGTAAGTATAAATTGAATCAATATGACTAGCTTTAGTAGTGATTGTATCTAATGATTTTAATTGATATAATTAAACTGTAGATGATTACGCAACTATATTAAACTCTTAGTCCGATATGTTACCTGAATTATCCTTTACATCAAGTAAGTTTATCTCTAATGGGACTGAACTAGAAGTCAAATAGAGTTCATTCAACCCATGGAGTATACAGATGTTTCTATGGTAAAAAGAATGATGCAAGGGTTTCATTATTAATTATATGAAATAAATATAGTGCATAACAATCCACAAAAAATTAAGAAGAGTATTAAAAAGTCATAATCCCATTGATTCTAAATCACTATATTATACATCAGAGAGAAAAATCTTAAATCTAGTGTAATGTAGAAATTAAAAATCAATAAGAAATTAGCTACATGCTGCCTTAAAAATGAAAATATTGAGTAAATTACATTTTCAAAGATTAATTTGTATTCAAAGAAACCTGATGAACAGTTGCAGTGGTATCTCATGCTGAATATTATATTATGCAATTTCAAGTACTTGAAATACATTATTACCTACGCTTCTCTAACTCTGAAATTTTTTTCATTAGCTATTTGAAAGTTAAAGAGCATCAATGAGGTTCTTGGTACGAGCCTAATGAATTTTGCATATCTATGTTCATTGAGAGTATTCTAAATAACAACCAAATCTACCTACACAGTTTATAGAAAATTCAATCAGGTGAAGTGATACAGGATATAAATTGCTGTAAAACATTAACATGTCTAAAAATAGTAAGCCAACATCCTCATTAGCAGCAATATTCATGATAAGGTCATTAGGAATCCCAATATTAAAGAATAAGTGTATTAAATGCTGCCCTCAATGCCTAGTAAAATTAGTACATTTTTTTTAAAAAACAAGTAAAGTAAAGGTAAGGTTTACTCCAGTAGTCATTGCTGACTATAGGGTGTGGTGCTCATCTCCATTTCAAGGCCATTGAGCCAGGACTGCCAGAGACATTTCCATGGTCATGTTGTCAGCATGACATCCTGGAGTGCTGTTACCTTTCCACTGAAGTGGTACTTATTTATCTACTTGCATTGGTATACTTTTGAACTGGGGTAGGGATGAGAACTCATCCCATCGCATGGAGTTCGGGCTTCAAACCTGGCTACTGGCTTTTCAGCTGACAAGCCCAATATTTTAGCCACTGAGCTACTGCACCACCTATTATATATTTAAAATATACTTGAAAGAAATTTAACTCAGTGGCCAATAGAGTGGTTGATGAATCAATTAATATTTTGTCTACCTGTTTTTTAAAAAATCCCAGAACAACAACAATCCAGTCAATCAATAAATTAATTAAATAGATAAATAAATACAAGGGTTTTTTTTTGTTTTTTTTTAGTATGTATACCTGAAGTTGCCAAACACATATTCCCTTTCAGCACTGGCAGATGTTTATTTGTCCTTGTTTGAAAAATTGTAAAAATCATAGTACTGATGAAGGGAAAACATAATTATCAACAAAACTAAAAGACACAGTAACATTGCTCATGAACATTATTCTAGAAAACATTCTTCAGTTTTATAATTCAGTTTTACAACTCCTTGATACTTCTTTCCCAGCCTTGTACTTTTCACCTT